AAATGGCATTTTCAAATTCTTAATAGACATATTGTTCAATAAGCGTAGAACTAGAGTAATTTTATGCTTGAAGTATCTATCTGTCCCTTTTCCTCTTTTCTTCTTTTCTCACCCCAATCTTGACAGATATATGTATTACAAATAGAGAGACCTGCATGCATGCATTACAGAAAAAAGACTATGTAGTTTACAAACTCTCATAAACAGCTTATTATAATTAAGCCTTATAAATTCCATTGTCTAATAGTAGCCAGAAAGCATTTACTGGTTACTTTTGAAATTAAGGATAGTTTAGTCTGTGATTTAGGGTCCTATACAAAAAGTAACAAATACCATTGTTAATTTACATTACTTCATTAAAATCTGTTAATAGTCATATGTCTACTCTGATAAGAGTGTTTTTTAAACAGGCAAGAAAATACAGTGTCCCAAATCAACTTAATGGCACTACATTAAACATGCTAACTTTGAGTCAGGAACTAAATCCTGGTACTGTTACTGGTATCTAAAAGCATTGTAAACCATATGTTTTGGGTGACATTTATATATATGGGGCAATTGACCTAACTATTTTTCTAGATACGGAATCTGAAATGACTAATGATAATGCAATTGTGAGGAATAGTTTACTAGGAGAAGTAAATACGCTTTAGAAGTATAGTTTTCTATTGTCTTGTTTTGAGAAATTAATTCAGTTCATTATTTAATATTTCTCCATTTTGAGTAAATAGGAAGGTGGTATTTACAGGATTCATAATTGACATTTTTATGGGAAATTTATCCAGATATCAACACCTTTACCATTTAATTTGTAAGGATGCTTCTTATATTTTGGAAGAGAATGGTTCTGGAAAAAATAATAATTTATCCTGTGGATTAGCTCCTTTTTTTCAGAGTGTTAAACTGATAAATCTGTATTCATTAATGCAGTAAGAATTTATTATATGAGGTCTGTCCAGCAGGTATCCATCCATATAATATGAAAGGTAGAGACATTTTTTTAAGAAGATACAGGATACAAGGAAGATTGTACATAGGGCAATGATTCCTCAGTCCCCTTCAAAGTAGGCACCTTGGGACCTCACAGAGTTCTCCCAATTGCCATCTGCTGCCCTGTCATATTTTCCTGAATCTCATTGGTGGTCTGAAATCTCTTCCCTTTCAAAGGTGATTTTAGTTTTGGGAAAAGCCAGAAGTTGTAGGGTGCTAAATCTGGGCTGTAGTGGGGCTCAGTCACCTGGGTGATTTGATGTTTGATCAAAAATTTTGCACAGGACATGATTCATGAATAGGTGCATTTTAGTGGTGAAGCTGCCTATCATCTGTTGCCCATTGCTGCAGCCTTCTGGATCATCCCGATAGCTTCTGCAGAAGAATGTTCAAGCTTAACACAAGATGTTATGCAGATTCGTTGCTCTGCTTACCTAGTCATTTTGAATGAGACAGCCACACAGCACACATCCTTACTCAATGGAGTCTACCACTCCCACTGACTCATACAGTGAAGTCATCATTGTTCATGCATGTGCATTCCAGTCCATTCTCCGTGGCTTCCAGGTTACGTTAGTATTGCACAAGCTGTATTGTTATATTAACAATGGCTGGATTTTTCTGGACAGACCTCATATATTTAACTATATACGCTGCTTTTATAATTTAAAACAAAAGTTACAAAAATAATTCTAATAACATCTTTGTATTAGATATATATTTTTTTAATCTCAAGATTTATGGTGCCCCTTTGTGTTAGGGAATTCATCTGGTGTCATACAATTTTTTTTTAGTATTGCTTCAAATAAACTTGTAGTGCGGTCAGAATTCCCTTGCTTTCTGAACTTCAAATCATCTCTTTTGTTATAGTACCACTGTAAACATAAATTATAGATTATACACCTATGACTGAATTTCATTTAAAAAAGAAAGACACATATTAAAAATTAAACAAGAATGGCATGTTAAAATTAAGTATTTAACAAATTAAATGTTGCTTAGTGGATAAGGGCAATATTCAGATAAGTCCTATTCATCAATAACAGGTCTATATGGCCTTTTGACAGCTGGACTCTATTGTGCTTAGTGCAGTAAGTCATTCTTCTAGTATTTATTTTACTCCTCTGGCCTTGTCTTGCCTTTACCAGTGATTTTGCATTTCATCCAAGTGACATTGAATGGCCCTGGGTTACAGGATACTATAAAGTGGGATATATGTGCCCAGGCATGTAATATATACCAGGTGTAATATAACATACATGCAATATACAACTCCTTCATCTTTAAGCCAGAGTGAATTGTTTTTACATCCACACAGGGAACTCTGGGTCAGAATCATGAAAACTTTTAAGGCAGTTAATGGGAAAGAGAGGAAATACAGAAAGCTTTGAGAAAGCAACACATGGCCAAAAACAACAGCAGGTGTGGCCATATGGCAATCAAATTAGAAAAGGGATCCTTGCCACACTGCCTTTTAGAAGACAGTCAAGCCCAGGCAGCTCTCAGGGAAAGATGATTTACTTAGTGCATTTTAAGTGTTTCATATTGCCTCTTTCACTACTCAAATCCAAGGGGAATTTAAATCTATTGCAGCAAATAGATATTGAAGAATTTTCTTAAAGAATTAAAATAGTAACCTCTAAATGATTTCACTTCCACATTAAGAGATCACTATGCCAGAAGCACATTAATTTCCAAATAAAGCATTTGCTAAAATTTAATTATTTTATTAAAATTTACATTATTTTATTTTAATAAGACATTTGGTAACATTATTTATAATTTGAAATTTCCTACTTAGGCAAAGATACATTGTAATAATGTAATTAAATTATTTCTTGAAGTCCTTAAGAAGCTTCAGAATACCATTTTCAGAAGTTCTTGAAATGTTTTCTTTTAAAAAGAATTTGCTAAAAATGTATTTTATTTCTCAGATTAGGTTTCAAAAATTTGTTTGACTTACAAAGGAACAGGGGCTGTACCATTACCATTCATTCTTAAATGTAATATTAGCATGGTACCATGTTAAAATTTAAGCAACATTCTTGAGGTGTATATGTGTGTGTTTTCTAATCTGGGAAGACGTCCATGCTTTACCATTTTTTGAGAATTTAGAGAGACCCATGAATATTCCCTCTGCTCTGGTCTCCCTTCTGCCCCTACAAACTTTTATTAGGGTAGCAACAAACTATCCTATGGTCAGAATGAAGGCAGTGTTCATACTTCAACCTTAAGGTCTCTGGTTTGTTTCTGTTTATTGGCAACACCACACTCTTATTTTCCATGACTCAATTTTTTAATGACAGCACAAAACAAGATAATCAATTACTCTACCCAATGGCTAATAGTTTAAGTATTGATTGTTTCCCCAATAGTGTTTTTTTTCCAAATAGGATTCTTATGTCTATTTTGAATAAAGAGAAATCATCTGTCTGTGTAAAAAGAACTTGTAGTCAATTTCTTATTGGAGCACAAATATTATACTTCTATTAAAATTAGTTTACATATATTTAACTTAGGTAGCATCCATATTTTGTTGATTCAAAATTGATTTTTTCAGGGAATATGGGAATTTTTTGCTTAAAAAGTCTAGCTTTGAACCTTTTATGAATTTAAAAGTCATGGAAAGGTAATTAAACATAAACATCCCTGCTATAAATCAGATATTGAAACTATTAGTACTTTGGCACATTGCTTTCAGTAATTATTAAAATAAAACATATGGTTGAAGCCCCTTTGGTCCACTTCTAATCTTTTCTACTCTCACGTGAGAGGCAACTACTAAATAAGTTTGGTTATTTTTCCCCTTTTCAATTAAAAAATTATATCACACATATATGTACCTGTCAAAAATGTATTATTTTAAGTAGGTATATATACAGTTCAAAGATAAGTGGTATAAATTATTCATGTTATTTTTTCACTTAAATTTGTTATGGTGACCTATCCTACTGATATAAAGATCTACTTCCTCCCTTTGTGTTGTGTAACATTACATCATGTGAATTGAAAACATCTTATTTACCTAATCCTCTACTGATACACATTTATGAATTCCTTTTTTCATAGCTTTTCTAGTATTCCATTATTCCTGAGATTTAAATAACCTTTATTTAAGAACAGTATATTTACATACTTCAGATATAAGTATTAGGTCACTTAGCAAATCACCCTTGAATAGTTTCGACTGGAGATGTTATATTTTTAAATTATACCTCAAATATAGCAAAATGGCAAATAATTCAAGATATGATTTTTAACATCGAATGTAATTTGTTCAAAATTTACATTAATCTTTCTCATAACTAGTCACTTCCATTTTGTCTTCCTGTCATCCCAAAGAATGAAAATGTAATTTCCCAGAGGCTTTAAGAATTGGGGAGTATTAAATGCAGCTGAAATTAAGTGATTAATAATTTACTTTTGGATCATGAATCAACTTCATGGGATGCTAAGGATCATGTGCAACCCCAGAAGCACTAGCAGTAACAATGCACTTTTTAAGACTCGAGAACTCTCAAAGGTTGGCTGCCCAACCTAATTAAACTTCAATCTTCTGATAGCAAATTTATTTCTTCTTTGTACAGAATGTCCTGAGATCTTCCTGACAGGAAAATGTCACTTTGCCTGACAGCTGATAGACAGGTTATGTAGCACCATAATTGGAGAGAAAAGGATAGCTTAAAGCTACTCGATTTAATGGCTATGTGTATGGCTTTTTCTTTCTTTCTTTTTCTTTTTTTAAGGTTTCTATGACAGACAAAGGCTTTAGCAAATAGGCCCTGTGCCATTTTTCCCTGCTTCCTCCAGGGGTAATTATCTTACTCCATCAATAGTGCTGTCAGAAATTGGGCAAGTAATTCAGCATTTAAATGAACAAGCAATGTAATATTTCCTGTCTCCCAGTGGAATGCTTTGCAGCTCACATTCTTCTCTGTCACTCGCTCACTCTTGATGTATGTCCCATAACCAGTCCTTGAATGCCTTCTCTCCCTTGTGTTTCATTGCAGATGTTGGCTCAGACTTGACACCTACTTCATTTGGAGTTTTATAGGACCAGCGACCTTGATAATTATGGTAAGAACTCCTAATTAACTGTGTTTTCCAGGTCAAGAAATAAAGCTTTCACTATCCCTGTACTGACTATGTTTAATTTACATAGATTAATTTGGGGAAAGCCTATACTTATTTGACCCTACATAACTCAAGCAATTAGACACTCATTATATTCTACTTTTATATTGGTAAAATACTTAACCGAAACCACTGGGAGCAGAAAACACGCATTTGCAAGTTTATGCACTGCTATGGTTCCTGAGGAGCCTGAGCTGACATGATCCATTTGGTTTCATAGATTTTGAATGGTGATGACTTTAGGTTTGACCAGCATTACAGTTCCAAATGGATAATTTGAAGTATGAATTGAACCAGAAATGGGAAAAGTGGCAAAATATCTTACCGATTTTTTAAAAATAAATCTTGAAAACTTTAACATAAAAGCAATTTTATGTAAAAATGCCACAAGCAAGCATTCTGGAGTCATTCTTTCTGTTGTTGTTGTTTTTAAATGTATAATATGTTGATTTTTTTTTATTTTTTCAAATACATTTGTCTCTGCCGACCCCCCACCACTTTCCCTTGCCCCCTCCCTCCTTCCCTCCCTCAGCTCTTCCCCTTTGGTTTTGTCCATGATGTTGATTTCTAATATGAATTATTTATCCTCATTTAGATATAATTGATAATATCATTTACTGACTTAATTATTTAAAATACAAAATTGTTATCCATTTTTTGAAAGAAAAAAACAACAAACTTGATTTTGAATAAAGTGTAGATGTACAAGTCATCTTCTGAAATCCTTTGGGCCAGGTATATTTTGAAATTCAGACAATTTTTTCAGACTTTATAAAGGTAATATGGTACGTGTACTGCATATTATATACTGTCTCTACTGGGAAATAAGCAGTTGCCCCAAATCAAATATATGAACCAATACTCACAGGAAAGACTAGGCAAGAGTAAAACCAAATACTAATAATTCAGCAGGAAAAAGAATAGGAAAGGTTGGAATAAAGACATGAAGAGCCTGATGTCCATTGAAATTAGGTCTCCCACCAACTGGGTTTGGTTCAGGTTAGGTTGTTTTGGCTACCCAATGAATTTTTTAAAACTTTTTAGGCTTTTTGAATTCGGTAAAAGATTGCAACCCATCTTACTTAAAGAGCTTCTGTGGGACTTAGAATTGGATTATTTTAGTCTCACCAAACCCAAGTTCTGGAATATATAAACAATTAAGGTGACCAAGGTCAATTTGGCATGGTACTTTTCTATACAGTTTACGTATAGATGATATATAGAATTTACGCTGGAGGTTTTTGTTTCATATTGTTTTAAATCTTACGCTCTCTTGGGCTTCCGTAATGTAACAGCTTCATTGCAGGTTCCCTCTACTTTAATCCTAACTTGTTTTAACATCAGAATTTAACCAGAATTTTATAACCCTTTTGACCTGTTGATTCAAAACTATATCAATTTTAGTATTTGTGTGTACTTGGCATAACAGTGCTTTGTACCTCATTGGTATTCCAATTCCCCAAACTGGCTTTTTGCCTTTACTAAAAGACTAAGCAATCATCTATGATCCAATTCTTTTAAAAGTGTAGTGAGAGCTAATTTCCCAGAACAACTCATCTGTTATGTTGAATAGACTTACTTTACTCCAGTTATGGAATATAACAGTACCTTTTACATTTCAGCTTAATGTAATCTTCCTTGGGATTGCTTTATATAAAATGTTTCATCATACTGCCATTCTGAAACCTGAATCGGGCTGTCTTGATAACATCAAGTAAGTGATTTTTCTTGTTTTCCTTTTCTTAGGCTCTCTTACTTTGATACACTAAACTATCCCTGCTTTTCATTGTATTGAAATCTTATGACAAAATGATAAAAATCAGTGTGTTGTCTTTGCTGAATAAAATCACTTATTGACTATTAATGTAACCTGAGCTGCCTGAAAATGAGTATAATGAAGCTCTGTCTTCAAAGAAATGCCCCCAACTCTGATTTACAACATGATAAAACTTTAATATATACATTTGTTTATTTTGCTCTGAAAGCAAATGTGGAGTTTCTGGATCCAGGCAGAGTATTATTTCTTAGAACAATAAAAGCCTTAGTTCCCAACATTCCATGTCCCCATCAGGAACAATGGGAAGAGAGCCAGGTGTGGCATCTGCGAGTACCAGAAGGGGGGTTCTACATCACAGAGAGGAGCCCCCTAATTATTAATCTGGGCATTTATACAGGAAAATCACCTGCCTCTTCTCCTGAGAGAGGAGGAGAAACCTCAACTTCCTAATGTAAAATCATTTGGAACATAAATATATGGTTCCAGGCTTTACCTTCCCTCACCTTTGAAATGTTAACCCTTTCACCTCATGGGAAGTAAATCCCTCCAGATGTCTATTCGATCTGTTCAGTCACCCACTCATCTTTTAATTTTCCAGGTTTGTCTTTTAACCTAAATTCCACTTGTCTATGTTCAGAAAACCCTAGCCATGCAGATATATGAAAATATTCCCATTACTTTCCACGCTAATAGTACTTCATATATATATATATATATATGTATATATATATATATGTATATACAGAAAAAGAAGCTAATTTACATTTTCTGAAAACAAAAACGGTTCTTTGTTATAACCAAAATACTTACCTTGCTCTTTTAGAATCTATGGCATTTGAGAAAGAGAGATATGTTCAGGTGTTACTTTAGTCATTAATATATATTGTGTCTTACATTGCCTTTGAATATAATCTGCCTATGTGGTAATTGGGTTAAATGTTTGTATTTAAATGAATGCACTTCCAGAAGTTTCCTGATGTCCCCTGTGATTTTCATGTGCTGCTGACATCCCCCTTAAACTACTCAGACAGCAGCTCTGTCACCCATTTTCCATCTTTCCACACTGAGTGCCTAACATAGTTCCTTGCCCATAGGAGATCCTCAACAAATGTGTACAGAATAAGTTAATACATTCAAGGCTTTAGTGACAAAAGTGTATTGACAGTAAATGATTAATTTTGTTGAATCAATAGTCTGCCTAAATTAATTGAGAAGGATAGCTAAGGAATTAGAAAATAATAAAATAATGGAGCAAACTAAAAATTATCTACTGCAATAGTCTTTTGTAGGTCTTAATATTACTTAGTTGAGATAGTAGGCATTATATTGTTGATTTGTTTATAATTAGGCTGCCCTTCTAAAATGTAGTGAAAAAAAAGAAACCAAAAATTATAGTTTTAGTTCCTTGGACTACATGATCCTGATAAAATCATATTTGAGTAAATTAAATATAATGTTTTCTTTATCATATCATACTTTTACTCACTTTAGTATAAATTGCACCATCTTAGTATCTCAAATTCTGTGGTATAAAACAATATACAACTAATACTTACCATTTATGCTATGTTTTTAAAGTACTACCATAAATAAATAAAACATTGATATTTATGTACTAGCTTTTAAAAGGTTAAGAATCAGAAAAGGTCATGCAGTTAGTATAATCATATATTTCAAAAGATAGATTTGTTCTTTCATTATTCATATATATTTCTTTAGGTAGTATGGAATAAATCTTTATAATACTACTGTTTAGAAAAATAAACATACAAAAGAAAATAATTAATAGTGACATTGATAGCATCAAGCTTTATATTGGGAATTAAAGCTTTAAACAAGAATATCTTGATTAGAATTCTGTCTAAACTGCTTCATGCTATATAACCTTTGGAAAGTTTATTTCACCTCACTGAGCCTTTCTGTCCTATTTAAATTGGGCACAATAATGAAACATACCCAAACACCAAATGAGCAGAAGAAATCAAACAGCTTGTGATGATGATTTTTAAAGAGTCAATAAAGCAAAGAGAGAAATTGGGCACTTTATTAGAAAGGGTATGAAAGGTACTTTTAAGATGTAAGAAACATGAACATGGACTTGGTAATGGGAAAGAACAAAAAAACAGAGTGGTCAGAAATTTAAGGAATCGAATCATTGTTACAGTTGTGGCCTGAGGAATTGTTGGAAATGAGAGCCAGAAACATGGTAATGCAACTCCACCCCATTAGATTTCATGAAGGATGCTCCCAGAGTTACCAGAAACCAGGAAGGAGGACCATTTTCCACTGAGACTGGATGAAATAAATAAGTGTGACGTGGTCCTGTTGGTGGAACCAGGGTAGGGCAGTAAATGGAGGGATTTCTGCCTATTCTTCTCTATGAAGTTGGAAAGATGGTCACCTACAGGATATATGGGACTATTGAAGAGAGATAATAAGAAAGAAAATATACCTTAGAACTTTCCAGAACCTGAAGGACATTTCATTTTATTTAAAATATATGAACTATTTAAGAAGTGCTTGTAAAGAAATCAGCAAGGCATAATTGATCAGGAAAGAAGAACTTAAGAAAACTAGTAATGATTTTAAACATTAAGCAAAACACACAATTTGTCGTTTAAAAACTTTGAACAAAAATAAGGATTTGTATTTTTTAAATGTATGGAGTGATGTGAGAATATTCTTTTTAAAGGTATAAACATTATTTCTCTGCAAAGTCTTTTTTTTTTTTTAGTAAATGGAAGAGAGCATAAAAGTTAATAATGTTTACTTGCTTTGGTTTTCTATAATTTTATCAAGTGGGGAATAAGACAAACCACTTGGTTCCATTTATTAAGAGAAAAGAATACCATATAAGGCCTTCTAGAAGATGTTGTCTTTCTAAACAATCCCTTCATTTATCAAAATATGTACAGCTTTTACTGTATCTCCTCTAGTTGAAATGTGTTTGCTTCTCCCTAATTCACTGCCACCATTGCCTTGTAGGCCACCGCCAACTCCTACAGAGCCATGGCGGTGGCCCCCTCACTGCTCTCCCAATATTGGTTCTTGCCCCTGTCTTGAGCAGCAAGAGTGATCTCTTGAAAAGTTTAAATCTGATCATGCAACTCTTTTGGGTAAAACTCTTCAGTGGCTTCCTGTTACTCTTATATGAAAGTCCTGATCCCCTACAATGGTCCAATCCAATAAGTATCCCTGATCTGGTTGTCCCATTCTTTCTTCAGTCTCTTTTTTAGTCCATGTGTCCCTCTGGCCATTTTAGATGTGTTCTCTTTGGCTTCATGTTTTATCCCTGCTATTTTTCTATTGATGTTCTCTTCCCTAATGCTATGCCTTGCTGACTCCAATTGACTGTAATTTAATTATTATTTTAAAAAATAATTGAATTACATTTTAATTCCAAATTTACTTCACTCATTATAAACACATTTTGATGTTAAGCATAAAACATTCATTTGGCTTGCTCATTACTATACTAATGCTATACTCTGGAAAAAATAAACAAAAAGTGAATTATGCAATATGATTAAAGAGGAAATGGGGTATACCAGTTTTAAAATTTTACTAAAAAATAATTAATTTAAACAGTATTTTCTACTTGCTGTTTATTCATTTTCATTTTGTCTCTTTTTCATCAAAATAGGTAATTACATTTAAAGGAATAAAATAATTCTTATTATTTGATTTTTTTGGTTGAATTTTTGACAAGTTGAAATTGGAGCTTACAATAATCATAGCAAAATTGTAACCTAATTTTGAAAATATGTATGTAAATATGAATAAAACAATGACTGATTTGTTACCAGCACAAAATTAAGTTATGGTATCACTGAAGTGTTATGATACATAAAGCTTTAGTTCTTGAACAGCATTTACGGCCCTCTTGACATTTATCTTCAAAATAAAAATTGATGTTTCTGTATTTATCAATTACGTCTACTTTTGGAAAATGTATTTAATCACATCACAAGTACTTTGAAAAATAAAAAAGTAATTATAAAAGCTTTTAGGACTAAGAAAGAAAATTCATGCCTATGTGGAGGGGCAAGGAATCTACTTGACTTTCATCGCCTGTGTCTCTCCCTTTGCCCTTTCCCATGGTCTGACTTCTGTATCTAGACTTCCAATTTTGGCTTAGTCTTGTTTTTTGATTTCTAGTTCCTCCCTTTAAGTTTTACTTGAGTGATGGGTCAGCAAACACGTTGTCAGGGAGTTTAAACAAACACCATTTACTTTCCTTCTTTCTTCCCTGAGCTTTAATAGCTAAAGGAAGACATTAAAGAGGAGGAATAACTTTAGTGGCAGACACATTTGGATTTGAATTTCTGTTCAGTCTTGTAAGGATTGTATGACCTTACAAGTTATATCATGGCTCTCAGTCTCAGTATCCCCCCTGCATTGCGAATAATTGTATGTACATGACCTTACTAGTTTTGTGTTAATTAAATATAGTCATATGTGTAAAGCATAGAGCATGTAATTTAGTGCCCCTATAAGATGGTTTCATTATTTTTAACACGCTTTGTGGAAATATAGTGCTGCCATTGGTCCTTAGTGCTTTACATTATGAAATTTGCTCAACCTCTTACCAAAACCCCATTAAAATTTGACTGGCTTTGTTTACCATATGGTGTCATTAAGAATTTGCATGACATGATTCCTTTTTTATTAAAACCAAACTTACCCTATCATGAGAAATTGGCTCCAGGGGTGAAATGCTCATTTGATTAATAAATAGCAAGTTCTGAAGGAAAAAGAAAAAAAAAAGGTGTCTTCAGGGAGCTTGGACACCTACCATATGCAAAGAAATCAAAGAAGGCTTCTGAATAGCTTCACGGAAAAATAGAAAATGTACCCAAAATAATTTATTCTGTTCCTCCAGAAGGTAAATTCTACTTTGAGGACTCTTCCTAAATATAGAATTATTTAAGTCAGAA